CCCGCCACCCTCGGTATATGGGGCCAGCGCCTTACTCACTGAGCCACAGGCGCCTCCCATGTTTAACAGATTATTGAAATTTTAAATGTGACAAATTAGTACTGTAAGCATGTTAAAACTAATCTCTTAGACATAAGCTGAAATATTTACAGATATAATTATATGTACCTGGGAATTGCTCTAAAATTGGCAGAGATGACAGCAGAGATGATAGGTCAAATTAGTTGTTTAAAATTTTCATAAGAAATGTATAAAAACAGTAATAAACAAGCTTACAACGAGATCCAATGTCCCAACGTAGACAATCATTGGTTCTTTCAAATAGGACTGTGCAAGTCGCCTAACAGCATATGGCCAAGTTGCACTGGAAATACAAGATACACAAACACTGAAGAGTTAGTGGAAAGCAACGTTACTGTTTGCTTGAGCACCATGAACGAAGTCACTCATGAAAGACACATTCAGTATTTTCTATCTTTTTATTAAGTAAGGCAGATCCAACTAAAAATTATTCAACTATAGGAAAGCTACTAGATGAAATCTTTGTTTTTTGTTTTTTCTTTATTGGTTTTTAAATTTTATTTCTTTACTTATTTTTTCTTTCCTTTTTTTTTCTTTTGTGGAGACAGAGTCCCACCCTGTGCCCCTGAGCAAAGTGCAGTGGCTTGGTAGTTCACTGCAACCTCAGACTCCTGGCTTGTGGGCATCCCGCTGCCTCAGCCTCTGGAAGCCGCTGGGATTACAGGTGCTCGCCATGGCGCCCAGCTGGGTGTTGCCATTTTTTTCATGAGTTGGGGTCTCACTTTCCCTCTTGAACTCCTGAGCTCCAGCGATTCTCCCTCTTTAGCCTCCCACAGTGTTGGGATTACAGGCGTGAGCCACCGTGGCTGGCTAGATGAAATCTTTCAATAGGTTTAATAGTTCTTTAAACCAAAGGTGAAGGAAACCTACAATAACTTCAATTAAATTCTAGCCTAGAATAAGGTAAATGAAATTAGTCTTAGGTTAGTTTTCTCTTGGACCTTATAAAACAAAAAAATCCCCAAACTCAAGTTTTTTTCAGACCATGTCAGTAGGCAAAACCAAATGCTTATGCCAAATAATAATCTTTTTAAATATACCAATGAAAGGATATGGAAATTTAAATGTTTCTCCAACCACTTATGAAATAATGAGAGTCACCACTTTTGGCTCGGTGCCTGTGGCTCAACTGGCTAAGATGCCAGCCACGTACACCTAAGGTGGTGGGTTCGAATCCAGCTCGAGCCCGCCAAACAATGACAGCTGCAACCAAAAAATAGCCTGGCGTTGTGGCGGGCACCTGTGGTCCCAGCTACTTGGGAGTGTCAGAGGCAGGAGACTTGCTTGAGCCCAGGAGTTGGAGGTTGCTGTGAGCAGTGATGCCACAGTACTCTACCCAGGGGGGACAGCTTGAGGCTCTGGCTCAAAAGACAAAAAAAAAAGTCACCACTTTTTATACCATTAACAGTAACTGCAATGAAGTCCAGCTTCACTTTTCTTGAAATGGGAAACAAAGTGGTGTGTAATTCAGTATACCCCATGTTAAATATAAATATACTGGGATTCAGTTATTTCCTCAATTATATGCTATTATTAATAATGAAAAAGGATATGAGGCCAGGAGAAACTGGTCTTTACAAATCACTCTGCATTCAAACAATCATTGCTTCCTCAGTTTTGTTTTTTTTGAGACAGAGCCTCACTTTGTTGCCCTCAGTAGAGTGCCATAGCGTCACAGCTCACAGCAACCTCCAGCTTTTGGGCTTAAGCCATTCTGTTGCCTCAGCCTCCCAAGTAGCTGGGACTACAGGCGCCTGCCACAACGCCTGGCTATTTTTTTGTTGAAGTTTGGCCAGGGCCAAGTTTAGAACGCCACCCTCAGTATATGGGGCCAGTGCCCTACTCACTAAGCCACAGGCACCGCCCTGCTTCCTGTTTTATCATGGGAAAAAGTATTCAATTCAACCAAAGTCTACTTACAACAACCGGTGATCTTTTATTTATTATTATTATTTTTGAGACAGAGTCTCAAGCTATTGCCTTGGATATAGTGCCATGGCGTCACACCTCACAGCAACCTCCAACTCTTGGGCTTAAGTGATTATCTTGCCTCAGACTCCCAGGTAGCTGGGACTAAAGGTGCCTGCCACAATGCCTGGCTATTTTTTGGTTGTAGTTGTCATTGTTGTTTGGCAGGCCTGGGCTGGATTCAAACCCACCAGCTCTGCTGTTATGTGGCTGGTGCCTTAGCTGCTTGAGCTACAGGTGCCGAGCCATGATCTTTTATTTAAATGTGAGATCTTTGAGTAATGTTTCTACAGAAATCTCCATCTGCAACTTAGGAAACCCAACAGTCACAAATAAAGCTTACAACTATGTTTAGTTACCAAACTAAGTGATAATATGATATTTGTGACCTAATGATCTCAAAAAATATTTTTAACCAAACACAATGCGATTCTATCCCACTATTTTACACAGTTATCAGGCATATACCTACCTCGTCATAATAGTCTGCCTGTCTGGGCGCACATCTAACAAAATCTTCATTATCTGAGGTTCAAATCCCATGTCCAGCATCTTGTCTGCTTCATCTAAAACCTACATCAATAATGAATAATGCAGCTAGATTAGACATGGGAGGCAGCTAAATGATATGCTTTGTTTATTTTTTTATTTTATTTTATTTTTGGCTGGGGCTGAGTTTGAACCCGCCACCTCTGGCATATGGGGCCGGCGCCTTACTCCTCTGAGCCACAGGTGCTGCCCAATATGCTTTGTTTTTAAGTAGAAAATGGAAATAGCAGTTTCCCTTATTATCCACTCATTGCTTTAATTTCTCCACAGTGGTTAGATTAACAAAGCCATCTGCAGGGCGGCGCCCATAGCTCAGTACACCCACATACACCCAGGCTGGTGAGTTCAAACCCGGCCTGGGGCCAGCCAAAAGTGACAACTGTAACAACAGAAATAGCCGGGCATTGTGGCGGGTGCCTATAGTTCCAGCTACTCGGGAGGCTGAGGCAAGAGAATTGTCTAAGCCCAGGAGTTAGAGGTTGCTGTAAGCTGTGTGACGCCACAGCATCTACTGAGGGCAACAAAGTGAAACTCTGTCTCTACAAAAAAAAAAAAAAAAAAAAGAGCAGGGTTCAGTAGCTTCCCACATAATGGTTACCAAGCATGGATACAGGGCACACTCCCTGGGTGTAAGACACAACTACAACTCTGTATTTTGGCTTGGTGCCTGTGGCTCAAGCGGCTAAGATGCCAGCCACATACACCTAAGGTGGCGGGTTCGAATCCCCAGCCCAGGCCCGCCAAACAACAATGATGGCTGCAACCAAAAAATGGCCAGGCGTTGTGGCGGGCGCCTGTGGTCCCAGCTACTTGGGAGGCTGAGGCAGGAGATTCACTTGAGCCCAGGAGTTGGAGGTTTCTGTGAGCTGTGATGCCATGGCACTCTACCCAGGGGGACAGCTTGAGGCTCTGTCTCCCCCCACAAAAAAACCCTCTGACTTTTACCTGTCATGTGTAAATTATATAAACTAATAATTTGTACCTTCATTAATCTGAAATTTAAAAAAGAGCAAGAGGTGGCGCCTATGGCTCAAAGAGGCAGGGCACCAGCCCCATATGCCGGAGGTGGCAGGTTCAAACCCAGCCCTGGCCAAAAACTGGAAAAAAAAAAAAGAGAGAGAGAAAAAAATATACAGTTCAGCTCTTTTTCCTCCCAGCATCCCGAAGCCTGCCTCCATGATTACCAAGTACGTTACACTTTTCAAGTTGACAAAGTTATTCATCTGCAGGTCATTTAGCCTTCCAGGTGTTGCAATGATGACATCTACACCTTTTCTAAGGTCTTCTATTTGCCGGTCTCTATCTCCACCACCATATACACAGACGCTTTAAGAAAAAAAAACCCCAAAATAAACAAAGGGAAAAAATCCAGAGGTTCACGTTTAGCCAAGAGTATCTCATCATAACTAAACATTCCAACCAACCTAATCCTGCCAGTTTCTGAGGACTATGCACACCCATCAGCCGACAGTGGTGTGTCCTAAAGAGCCACTCCTGTACTTGTCCCTTTTACCCAGGCTATAGTTAGTTAAATCAGGAACTAATACCCGACCCATGTTGAGCCATTGAGTCTCTAAATGTGTGAAAAATAATGGAGAAGACATATAAAACTTAAAATACTAAAGGAGTAAAGGAATGGCCAAAAAGCAACTTACCTCCTAAGACCTTTATATGAATATTTAGAACATTCAGCTTCCACTTGAATAGCTAATTCACGAGTTGGTGTAAGCACTAACATGCCAGGTCTGTTCCTTTTTCCTCCAACTCTTTGGAGAGAGAGCAGATTAACATTAGATTACGGTATCTGTCTCATATGTATGTTACGTTCACTCAGAACTTTCAAGATTTTTAAAGAGTATTGAAGTTAGACATAGTCACAGACACATTTACACCTTTTCTGAAAGGGTGTGTGATTAAAAGTTCCCACAGCATACTGCTACTAATTATGACCCACACACTTAACAATGTACTGATACAATCTAGAATGCTAGGCGGCATCCATAGCCCAGTGGGTAGGGTGCTGGCGACATGCACCAGAGCTGGTGGGTTCAAAACCAGCCCGGCCTGCTAAAAAAAAAAATAGCTGGGCGTTGTGGCAGGCACCTGTAGTCCCAGGTACTTGGGAGGCTGAGGCCAAGAGAATAGCTTGAGCCCAAGAGTTTGAGGTTGCTGTGAGCTATGATACCACAGCAGTCTACCAAGGGTGACACAAAGTGAGACACTGTCTCAATTTAAAAAAAAAAAAGGCTCAGCGCCTGTAGCTCAGCGGCTAGGGCACCAGCCACATACACCACAGCTGGTGGATTTGAATCCAGCCTGAGCCTGCCAAACAACAATGACAACTACAACCAAAAAATAGCCAGGTATTGTGGTGGGCGTTTATAGTCCCAGCTACTTGGGAGCCGAGGCAAGAGAATCACCTTAAGCCCAGGAGTTGGAGGTTGCTGTGAGCTGTGATACCATAGCACTCTACTAAGGGCGATAAATTGAGACACTGTCTCTATAAAAAATTAAAAAAAAAAAGATACTTTAATTACATTTTTGGTGTCCAGTCTATGAAATGCCATGGGAATTCTTACTTTGGTTGACCATCTAGATGAATAAATCCAGGCATTAAATAAGACAGCGTCTTGCCGGTTCCTGTTTGGGCTACTCCTATAAGGTCTATTCCTTGTAAAACTATTGGCCAAGATTGTGACTGAAATAGAATTAAACATTAAAACAAAAATTATCTCTTTGTGCTAACAATTCCTCCTTTCCCAGTTCTAATCTTTCAAAGATTTTTTTGAGGGCTGGAGGAGAGGGCTAAGAGGGGTGCTAATAAGAGTTCCTCCTGGTGGCTCGGCACCCATAGCGCACAGTGGTTATGGCATCAGCCACATATACCTGGGGTGGTGGGTTTAAACCTGGCCCAGGCCAGCTAAACAACTGCAACAACAAAAATAGCCAGGTGTTGTGGTGGGCGCCTATAGTTCCAGTTACTTGGGAGGCTGAGGCAAGAGTTTGAGGTTGCTGTGAGCACCCTACCAAGGGCAACATAGTGAGACTCTGTCTCAGAGGGTGGGAGGGCTGGGGGAAAGAGTTCCCCCTGGTGATTTAACTTCTAACAATCAGGTACCATTGTTTTGGGGGGGGAAACATTATTCAGTGAAATATTACTATTATGGAATACTTACTTGAATAGGTGTTGGCATTTGAAAACCTGCCTTTTTAATGTTTTCCATAATTTCAGGATAACATTGAAAGGCATCTGCAAATGCACAGGTCGGATTAGGGATTGGACGCTTTTCACCTTCTTTCAAATCATCACATACTATATTAAAATTTTCTTTCCTTTAAAGAAAAAGTAAAACAACGATTAGTGGCTTTGGTCACTTTACTCCCCAAGAATGAAATTTCCAAAATCAATTTAAGAGCTATCTAGAAATTCAACTACAACTGATAAAATCCTACCTGTTAGGGAAATTGCAGCGTGAAGCCTGAAAAATCATATACTTCTTAAATCAAAACCAGACTTGGTGTTAAGGACCTGTATCAGGAAAATTTTTTTCAATTCTCAACTATGGGTGGTGCCTATGGCTCAGTGAGTAGGGCGCTAACCCCATATACCGAGGTGGCAGGTTGGAGTCCAGCCCCAGCCTAAATCCAACAAAAATAAAAAAAGTAGCCAGGCATTGTGGTGGGCACCTGTAGTCCCAGCTACTCGGGAGGCTGAGGCAAAAGAATCGCCTAAGCCCAAGAGCTGGAGGTTGCTGTGAGCTGTGATGCCATGGCACTCTACTGAGGGCGACAAAGTAAGACTCTTGTCTCTTAAAAAAAAAAATTCTCAACTATGTATTCAGTTGCTCAGCTATGTGACCCACATTTTAAGTGTTCAGTAGTTACATGATGGTTTCTCCTTTAGACAGACATACATATACATATGTACAGACCATTTTTCATCACTGCAGGAAATTTAATTGGACAGCCATGCTATAATATATATCATGTAGGATGCAACAAAGTTTTCATATTGAATATGGAAGGTACAATCCCCAAAATGTAACCATTTCACATCTTTGCCTATAAAGCAAATATTACTAGCTATATAAAAACTCACGCAATAAGGTAATAAAACCACCCACCTCCAACTGTCTACTTCCACTTGTGTCATTGAACTTGTTGTTGTTGACTCTTTGTAAAAGTTTTTCTCAATAGGAGGTAAGTCTGGGAAAATGATGAAATCCACACTTTAATAAAAGAATCTATATTTCATTAACACTTAGTGAAAGCTGTGGAAATCAAACTAAAATATATTTACCATGAATGCAGTTTTAGACAATTCTATTTTTGTAGCCTTATTTATGCCTGCCTGAGAGATCTCCTTTATTGGTTTGTGTTTCAATTACCTTTTTACCCAAGAGAGGGATCTTTTAATAATCAAGTTTAAAGTCAAAGAGAACGTGCCTTACAAGACATGAAAGCACGATTCAGGAGTCTGCTAGCAAACATAATTCTTAGTTTGAGTTCATCTTTCTTTGAATGTCTTTCCCATTACTTTTTAGGAATTAAATTTATATCCTTGATGTACTCTCTGAAACTACATTTTTTTTTTTTTGAGACAGTCTTACTTTGTTGCCCTGGGTAGAGTGCCTTGGCACCAGAGCTCACAGCAATCTCAAAGTCTTGGGCTCAAGTGATCATCCTGCCTCAGCCCCCTGAGTAGGTGGGACTACAGGTACCCCATACTACACCCAACTAGTTTTTCCCATTTTTAGGGGAAATGAGGTCTATTCTCTTGCTCAGGCTGGTCTTGAACTCCTGAGCTAAAGTGATCCACCTGCCCCAGCCTTCCACAGTGCTAGGAATTATAAACCTGAGCCACCACGCCTATTTTTCTTTTGCAGATGCAGAGAAGGATGAAACTACATTCTTTTTTAAAAAGAGACAGAGTTTCACTTTGTCACCCTCGGTAGAGTGCCGTAACATCACAGCTCACAGCAACCTCCAGCTCTTGAGCTTAGGTGATTCTCTTGCCTCAGTCTCCTGAGTAGCTGGAACTATAGGCGCCTGCCACAATGCCTGGCTATTTTGTTGTTGGTGTTGTTGTTGCAGTTTGGCCAGGGCCAGGTTTGAACCTGCCACCCTCGGTACATGGGGCCAGCGCCCTACTCACTGAGCCATAGGTGCCGCCCGAAACTACATTTTTTTAAGAGAGCTCTGTTGCCCAGGCTAGAGTGCAGTATCAGGATTATTGCTATATTCCTAACTGCCTGGGTCAAAGCCATTTTCCTGCCTTGTCCTCCTAACCTTTGAGGATTTCAGGGGTGAGTCACCGAATCCAGCTCTTTGGTGCTACATTTCTTAAATGTCTCTTATAGTTGTTCCATATTCCAAATTCTTTCCCTGGTCTCCTATCCCAAATCTCCAACTCATATCATATAGTCAAGGCAGTACTAGAAACTTAATCTGTAGAGATGCTGACCAACCGAGTGGCCTTCATCACTGTTAATGTTTAGCTCACATTTAGTACAATGGTTTTTTAATTTTATTTATTATTTATTTATTTATTTTGAGACAGAGCCTCAAGCTGTCCCCCTGGGTAGAGTGCCATGGCATCACAGCTCACAGCAACCTCCAACTCCTGGGCTCAAG